CAGCCCTGGAGGGGCTGTTTTTGAAGGGCTCCTGCAGCAAGAGCGAAGGCAGACCCACACTGCCAGAAATCTCACTGCATTGTCTTTCCTCTGAGGGTAATTCAAGCGTTCTACTCTGAAGCACATGCCAAAGGGCTCCATGTGTAAATCCCACAAATTTCGTGAGCCTCCCCAGGCTAGGGAGGCTGCCCCAGAATGCTGAGGAGCGGCAGCAGCCAAGTGATGTGGCTCTGCACCCCCCTGCCGAACCCCGCCATGCCGCTGCATCTCACGTAACTCCCCCCGCGCCGGTCCGCAGACCTTGAAAGCATTATTTTCAGTAAAACAAATTTTTAAATGCCAAGAAGGGAAATCCTCACATATTTACAGGGAGGAAGAGAAATGGTGTAAATTGTTTTAAAGGGTCTTTTTTGGATGCACAAAATAGGTCCATTCTGTGAAACAGGCTATAACAAAAAGAGATTAATGAAAATCGCTCAAGAAACCCTATTCTTTGATTTCCCAGATTCACCGATTCCGTTTCACAGCATTCTGTGAAAATGCTTCCTATGCCTACCCAGACGCATCACATGGATCACTGGACTGATCGAATTTGTTCCCGTGGACATCATTTATCTAACTATTTATTCCAATATTTTACAGGCGTTTTGACAGCACCCAACTCATGCACCAGAAACATTCGGCTGGACATTTCCACCTCTAAACGAGGAAGATTACACAGATCCCCCACAGTCTTTACCGGGATCAATCTGCTCTGTTCCCAAAAGGTGACAAAATCTGTTTTTTTTGTTTTTCCTTCAACCTCTATTCACAAATCAGCCCTTTGTCTCTTTCAGTAATTACTACACATCCCTTTTTAAGCAATTTTGAGTAATTCAAATTCCCACTAAGAGCTCCCCACACTCCACATTATTTCTTAATCACAGCCATAATTGTCGCCACGCTTTTTGTCCGCTCCGCCGCAGTTTATTTAAGGTGGCCCCGGGTGCGGAGCCGGGGGCTTTCCCACGCCTGGGTGAACCCCACGCTGTTTTCCCGTCACGAAGCCCACATGAGGGTAGCACTAACGGGAGGGGGTGTGCCCCAGACAAGCAAGAGTCAACCCATCCCTGCCCTCCCCTGTGAAAAACAACAACAAAAGGATATTAAAACAATTCGGGCTTTGTTTTTATTGCTTGAGCCTGAAGTTGGAAACCCCCCCCTCAATACTCCGCTGCATAGTTCCACCAAATTCTCCTATTTTTATATCCTGCAGGTAAGGGAAGAGACACGGCAAACGGCCGCTCAGAGCTCCCATTTACAGTAAACAAATAATGCTTATTGCGATTTTGGCTGTAGCTGCCCCCCTGCAGGGACACCCCAGTCCCCGTCCCCAGCCCCGTCCCGGCTGCCTCCGAGCTCCGCGCTGTCTATGAGGTGCAGTCTCCGGGACAGCACATGTAAAACGGATGAAAAAGAGAGAAGGAAAAGTCGCAAAGGTAGTGTAACAAGGCTGCTCAGTGGCACAGGCAGCAAGTCCGGAGCACAGACGCATTAATTTTAAATCGGCAAAAGTGCACGATGCTTCACTGACAGCTACAGAGACGGGGCTGCCGGGGTCTTTTATCATTTGGGAAAACGATTTCTGTCTCTGCTAGAAATTGCTTGGAACTAGCAGAATACAGTTGCTGCTTCAATCTTTAACGTTTCAAGATAAAATGAAATGATACCTTTAATCAATGGATGAGACCATACAGGGTAGAAAACGAGCACGGCTATTACCTGTTTTAATTGCATACTTCAGGGTTGTTCTGCAGTTCAGTAAAATTTCTTCCAAGGTCTGTGGCTGGTCTGCCAGTTCCCAGTTATATTCCTGGAGCAGCTCATTTGGGTAATGGAAATCAATAACTTTTGTTGTTCTATCAAAACTTTTCACCACATACTGAAGTAAAATGTCCACAATATCTTGTAGGAAAGACATAGTTGTTATTTCTCCATTGCATGCTGGCAGAAGATCTGGGAATGGAGAAATGAAAAGTTAACTTCCTTTTACGACCATATACACGGGTTTTGGACAAAGGCTTCTATTTATGTTTAGAAAATCTTTTCACTGTGATCAATACGAATAGACTCTGTTTTCATTTAATAAGCAAATTAGTAAGACTGTATTTGTTCTGAAAGGTAATAGTTAGGTTTTAATATCCTACTTAAAATAGCAAATTTTACCCACAGTATATTTCTGACCAATTTTTCAGACAATGAGAGAGCAGGGAAACAAGAAAAAAAGGAAAACGAATCTCAGGAAAAATAAAGATCGGGAAAGAAGTGCTACAAGAAGCACCCTTAAAACAGGCTGCTTGCCTTGCAATAAAATACCTTCATCGTGACTCTCCAAGGCAAGTAACTTGTTGATAATTTAATGCCTTTTTCTGAGGCGATGCTGCACGGTCTCTCAGCGCACACACTGACTGACATCTTTTGTGCGTTTCAGTGCGATGGCTGAGCAGAGCCGAGCTGTAGTGGGAGCCCCTAGTTTAGGGTACGCGGGTGCGCTGAGAGAGACAGCGGCAGAAGCGCAGGGCGCCGGCAGCAGCTCCCTGCATGTCGGCGGGGAGCTGGGAGCGAGGCAGGAGCAGCGACACTACCTCCAAGGTCAGAAAAGATGAAGCGCAAAACCGTCTCGAATTAAAATAAATCTGTAGGAGAGCGCTCCTTCTCCCTCCTCCCCTCAAACCTTAATTACATGGCAGGGACTTCAGCGAGAAGGTCGCTGCTGTCAGTTCTCCTTAGAAAGAGCAACCTGCAGGCTCCAGCACACCGGGATTTTGTTGGGGTTTTTTTGGTTTTGTTTTGGGTTTTTTTGGTCGGGATCCTTTTGTTTGTTTGTTTGTTTGGTTTTTTGGGTTTTTTTTTGGCGGGTCTGAGAAATGCCCGGCGCCCGTGGGTGCCGGGGAGAGGCAGGAGCGGGTCTGGGCGGGGGGCGCAGAGCTCCGCGGAGCCTCCGCGCACCGCGGGCGGAGGCAATTTCCCGAGCGAACCGCTGGTTTTCTGTTAGTTTTAGAGAGGCAGCGTGGCCCGGGAGCGCCGTTACCTGTTGAGTGCAGAAAGGCGTAATTCACCTCCGCTTTTTGGCAGCCGCAGGGTTTTTTGTCGCAGGTACAGGCCGGCCGCGGCTCCGCTGCCCCCGGGGCTGCCCTGGCGCCGGTTTCCACGGGCTTCTCGGCATCTCCGTAGAGCAGCGCTTGACAGCGACACGGACACACGGCCTCAGCACCA